TGTGTCCCGTGGTGAGGCTGGCCCTGTGGTCATCTCTGTGAATTGCTGTTCTGAGCAGGAACATTGTCCTCAGGGCTTGATGAGCCAGGATGTGCTTCACTTTTTTTCCCCCCTTATTGGCTCCTGTGTGCTCAGACAAGTCCCTCTTCTTGAGCTGTAGCTTCAGTGCTGTCCTATAAAGTGAGTTCTTCTGGGGGAGGGTGGGGAGGGAATCAATTATTTCTTTTTTTTCTCCCTCTGGGTATAGCGTACTTTATTGATGGTACATGACAAGGCCGAGTTCTCTAAGCCCCTCCCCTTCCTTCAGGGGATCTGGATGAAATATTCTGTGTGTTGGGGGATTGAATTAGGGGCAAAGACTCCCCAGCAGCTGAGGGCCTCTCTTCTTCTAGTGCTGTTGCTGGGGCTGGTGGTTGGGGCTCTCACTCCTTGGAGGCCATGTGGACCATGAGGTCCACCACTGTTGCTGTAGCCAAATTCATTGTCATACCAGGAAATGAGCTTCACAAAGTGGTCGTTGAGGGCAATGCCAGCCCCAGCATCAAAGGTGGAAGAGTGGGTGTCACTGTTGAAGTCACAGGAGACAACCTGGTCCTCAGTGTAGCCCAGGATGCCCTTGAGGGGACCATCGGCCGGCTGCTTCACCACCTTCTTGCTGTCATCGTACTTGGCAGCTCTCTCCAGATGCCAGGTGAGATCCATGACAGACACATTGGGGGTGGGGACACGGAAGGCCACGCCAGTAAGTTTCCCATTCAGCTCTGGGATAACCTTGCCCACAGCCTTGGCAGTGCCAGTAGATACGGGGATGATGTTCTGGGCAGCCCCACGGCCATCACGCCAGTTTCTCAGAGGGGCCATCCACAGTCTTCTGGGTGGCAGTGATGGCATGGACTGTGGTCATGAGTCCTTCCACGATGCCAAAATTGTCATGGATGACCTTGGCCAGGGGGGCTAAGCAGTTGGTGGTGCAGGAGGCATTACTAACAATCTTGAGGGAGTTGTCATACTTCTCGTGGTTCATGCTCATCACAAACATGGGGACATCGGCAGAAGGGGCAGAGATGATCACCCTTTTGGCACCGCCCTTCAAGTGAGCCCCAGCCTTCTCTGGGGTTGTGAAGACACCAGTGGACTCTACGACATACTCAGCACCAGCCTCAGCCCACTTGATGTTGGCGGGATCTCGCTCCTGGAAGATGAAGATGGCCTTCCCATTGCCTTTAAGCTTCCCATTCTCAGCCTTGACAGCGCCATTGAACTTGCCGTGGGTGGAATCATACTGGAACATGTAGACCATGTAGTTCAGATCAATGAAGGGGTCATTGATGGCAACAATTTCCACTTTGCCAAAATTGAAAGCAGCCCTGGTGACCAGGGGCCCAATGCGGCCAAATCCGTTCACTACGACCTTCACCTTTGTGTCTCCAGGATGCGGCTGGGACTACACAGGAACGGGAGAGGCGGCTGTCACAAGAGGAGGAGCAGAGAGCCTAATCAATTATTTCTTAAGGAGCTTAAGAAATGGTAACTCTTCTACCTGTGACTCCTACCATATTAGGATTTTTCTGGACACTTCCGGGTTCTGTGTGCTGTATGCTTTCATACAGAAAAGGAACAGCTCTTTTTCCTTAACCATCAACTTTCAGAGTAAGAAGTTGATGCTCTAAGATCCTCTAATGGTAATGAACTTTCTAGAGTTTTTTTCCCCTTTGAATCTGATATTCCTTGTGTATCGTTATGAACTTGAGGGCTTATGTATGCATGTAGTTCAATAAACTACAATTATTTTTTATGTTTAACTTGTCCCACGTTGGGGCAATTTTAAAATAAATTTTATTTTGTGTTGATACAGGAGCCCTGGTGGAAAGATGGTTATGCTTTGGGCTGCAAACAGAAAGGCTGGTAGTTCAAAACCACCAGCAGCTCCATGGGAGAGAGGGGCTTTCTATGCCAGTATAGTCAGTCACAGAAACTCACAGGGGCAGTTCCACCCTCTCTTACAATGAGTCGCAACCAACTTAATGGCAGGGAGTTTGTTTTTTTTGGCATGTATAAAAAGCATTCAGTTTTTAAATCTTATTAAACTTTTAATGATTTATTGAATCCTTTTATGGATATACAGTAAAAGAATGAACTTTATGCAAGTTCTAGTTCAATAAAAATGTTAGTTTCCTTTTCAAATCATTTTATTGGGGGCTCATACAACTCTTATCACAATCCATCCATCCATCGTGTCTAGCACATTTGTAGCCATCATCATTCTCAAAACATTTGCTTTCTACTTGAACCCTTGGTATCAGCTCATTTTCCCCGCCGCTCTTCTGAACACTTGATAATTTATAAATTATTTTTTCATGTCTTAACACTGTCCAATGTCTCCCTTGACCACTTTTCTGTTATCCATCCCCCACCGGGAATGGGTTATATGTAGATCATTGTGATCAGTTGCCCCCTTCTCCACCACCTTTCCCTTACCCTCCTGGTAGCATTCCTCTCAGTCGTGGTCCTGAGGGGTTTATCTGTCCTAGATTCCGTTTCCAGCTTTTTTTTCTTTTAATCTTTTATTAGGGGCTCATACAACTTTATCACAATCCATACATACATCAATGTGTAAAGCACA